GTTCGCCCTTCCTTATCGGCGTCTAGGTTCACCGGATTTTCTCGCTCTGGTCTGTCTATAGCCTCATTCAACACTACTCGCAGGATCGCTTTGTTGCACCTTGGCAGTGGTATGAATTTATCTGTTTATCTTTCTCACACTATTTACGATTTTCGTCCGCGTTCGTTTTTTATCCTTAGTTCGTCGATTAGCACAATGTTTTGTCAATTATCCACCTCGATGACGTCTCCGAGATCTTTTTGCTATTTTTTGGTGGATATGCTTGCTTGGAGAGTACTTTTGTTTTGCTCTGGTCGATGCCGTATCAGTTGTAATAGTAGGTTGTTTCTTCTGTACTTTTTCTTGGCTGAGTATGTTTTCTGTAGCTCGCTGGCTTAAGAAGTAATTGATTGTTGTTGTGAATTGAATTTCAATGACGGTTCGTGATTGTGACGATTTTAATTTCATATTTGTGGTTTCATCTGTGGATTTACAGATTTGCTTTGAGAAATCGTGTGTAGAATGTTCAATGTGAACGCACTTATTCTTGAATTTTATTTCTGTTGTTTCAAATGCCTTGAAGTTTTGAGATGGATTTCTCTCCATCAATCTATGTTTATTCGTTCATGAATATTCTTAATCTGTCAAGTAGAGCTCGTCCATAAGAATAATGTTAATGACATGAATTTCCTTGTAATTTTATTTACATTTTCTTTTCATCTGTGGAATTACCGAATCGTGTTGTAAGTGAGCCGGTGTGACGATTAAATTGCCTGTGAAAGTCGAAGGGAATAATCTGTTCCTTGTTATTAATATTTTTCGAGTGGCCTTGATATTTGGATACAATTATCGCTTTACTTATCCGGCATTTATCTGTTTATGGTTGTTATCATCTGTTACAGCCAGTGCTTTGCAATGAGAATAATGATCATGGCTTATTTTAGCAAATTTTCCTCTCCCCTCCCTCCCCAAAGGATCTTGAGAGGGGCTTTGTGTCTGCTCCTTATACTCCAGCAATTGTTCTTCCATTGTTATATTCTTTGTTGATTATTATGCCTTCTTTCTTCATGGTGCTTTTGCCATAAACGTCTGGTGGAAGTTTAGTCCTCAACTCCAACTACAGATTCTACGCATTAGCGAATGAAAAAAATAATTTATTATTGATAACTGATATTAGGCAACTGCATGATCATAAATTATTTTGCAGCTATTCCACAATCGCAATATGTAGGTCTGAAAGCTTCTGAGATGTTAAGGGGAGAAGGCAGCAACGTCGGGATGACTGTAGCTGGAAATGCAGCCCAAGCAAGCACTGGTGATTCCTCCGAAAATCTCCTAGACTGGGTGAAAGAGGACAAGAGAAGATTGCTACATGTTGTATATCGTGTTGGAGATTTAGACAAAACCATAAAGTATGTTTGTTTGGGACATAATAGATATATTTTTTTAAATTTCTTGCGAGACTAAGATAAAATCAGGAATTCCTAATAAATAAGAGGGTTATAATCGAGAAGGTTCAAAGACAGAGAAATTTAATTGTTGGTTCCGCAGATTCTATACAGAGTGCCTTGGAATGAAGCTCCTTCGAAAACGTGACATTCCAGAGGAGAAATACACAAATGCCTTCCTTGGGTTTGGTCCAGAGGATTCCCACTTTGTGATCGAACTCACTTACAGTAAGATATGAGCTATTTGATTCTATTTGGCTACTAATGTCATTGCAGAATTTTTAGATTTCTTCTGGAATTTTCTGAAAATGTATCATTTAATAGGCATTTTCCTTCCAAGATATATGGGATGGTGCCATTTCTGACATAATCATGCTCTCTAAGTATGTCTAATTATTTGTCCTCTGGTTTTTGTTCCAGATTATGGAGTCGACAAATATGATATTGGCAGTGGGTTTGGCCATTTTGGTATTGCGGTTGAAGATGTAAGATCCTCTATTTGGAATCTGCATGTACATAGTTATCCTTAGTTGCAAACCAAAATTTTTGGTATCGCATACGCATGTGCAATCTATTATAATAAGAAGCTTAGTAACAATTTCAATGAACAAGCAAAAACACAAACTTATTGTTATTTAATTGTTGTTTCAAAGTCATTAGCATAAAAGATATTTTCCAGATTTAATGGAAAATGAATTCTCTGATAGTATAATAAGTGTCATACCTATGAATTATTTAACTAATCCGATGTTTAAACTCTTCACTTGCAAATAATAAGCTGTGTTAGTTCGCATGAACCTTATCTTTGATCTTTCACAAGTTTGTATTGAGAAATTAAAACTCTCCACTTTTCGTGTTTTCTCATGTATGTACACTCCGGATGTCCCCTATGGCTTAGTTTTTCCTTTTCTTTTCCTTCACTCCTCTTTTCTCACATGTTACCATCATATCAGTTTTTACTCTTTTGGCCACATATGTGTTTCAACTGCGCCACTATTTAGTCAAAAAGGATATTAAGGTTCCATTGTTTCTTATAAAAAGTCGTTTCCCTTTCTCTTCCTTGATAGGTTTATAAGACCGTAGAACTCATAAAAACTAAGGGTGGCAAAGTGACCCGAGAACCTGGCCCTGTGAAAGGTGGCCGTACCGTTATTGCTTTTGTTGAAGATCCGGATGGTTATAAATTTGAACTTATAGAAAGGGGACCTACTCCTGAACCCTTATGTCAAGTAATGCTTCGTGTGGGCGATCTTGATCGCTCAATAGAGTTCTATAAGAAGGTAAGGCTGTGTAGTTGGGATTCTTTCAGGTGTAGTTGACAGTCTTTGTTGACTTCATTTTTTTATCTCTTCTTTAACTTCTCTGAATATCAATGATGTGAATAATCTGTACTGTTGGGCTTTCTTCGTGTTTTCCATATAGGCTTATGGAATGGAGCTTCTACGTAAACGTGATAATCCCGATTACAAGGTAGAAATCTTATAATCGATACGTAGTTTAGAAGTATACACTTGAAGTTCTCTTCATGCATGATGGTGTCATTATATTTACATTAAGTAATTCCCACTAAGTTGAATATTTTCTTTCTGAAGAAGAATTCAAACTTGCAGACACGGGTGGAGAAGTGTAAATGACGTATTTTAAATGCACATATATATAGAAGGAGTTGAATCTGTGGATGGATCTGTAGAGTTTTCAAGGAGTTTATTGCACAGAATTGGCCATTTTTCTAACACGACTTTAACTTTTCTATAATATTTACCTACATACCTTTGACTATCTCAATATGGTTGGTTTTATCGTGGTTTTCAGAACATACAAATAATATTTGAGAAGTTCTCAGCTGATATGGCTGAGAGCAAGTACGGTTCTGAATTTATTGGACGGAATTTTACTTAATCCTTTTTCTTTCCTTATATATCTGGTAATTTGTCTGGAGAATGACTAGTTATTATTTGTTCTTGTTCATTTTGGTACTTTTATTTTTGTTCATCTTTTCTTATTTTAAGATTGTCTGTTTCTACTACAGCCGTGGACTGATTCACATGTTCCATTCTATGTCATATTTGGTTTGTTTCATGTGCGTCCGTTAACTTAATGGTGTGATGTTATGGCTGGTCTTATAGTACACTATAGCAATGATGGGTTATGGTCCCGAAGATAAAAATGCTGTTCTGGAGTTGACATACAACTATGGTGTCACTGATTATGAAAAAGGAAATGCTTATGCTCAGGTACTATATTTTCAGTTTCCACCAAATCGTTTTTCTTGTTGAATTTACTGGGAAAATTCATTCTGGTTCGGAAACTTGAATAGTAATTATATTTTAAATTTTTTCTTAAATTTTTAATTACTTACTGCCATTGTGATTTCATGAAATCAATAAATGAGATATTTCTGATCTTATAAGCTCCTCCTTGAATAGTAACTAAAATTTTAAAAATGTTCTTAAATTCTTAATTACTCACTATCATTGTGATTTCATGAAATCAATAAATGAGATATTTCTGATCTTATAAGCTCATATTTGAATAGTAATTAAAATTTTAAAATTGTTCTTAAATTCTTAATTACTCACTGTCATTGTGATTTCATGAAATCAATAAATGAGATACTCCTGATCTTTAACTCATACTTGAATAGTAATTAAAATTTTATAGTTTTTCTTAAATTCTTAGTTACTTGCTGACAGTGTGATTTCATGAAATCAATAAACGAGATATCTCTGATCTTATAAGCTACTTGAATAGTAATTATATTCACTGATTTCATGAAATCAATAATGAGATATTTCTGATCTTTAAGCTAGTTGAATAGTAATCATATTTTAAAATTGTTCTTAAATGAGATGTTTATGATCTTATAAGCTTGGAACAAACCAGGACTGATGTCTTTCTTTCTCTGTGAAAAGATTGCTATCGGTACAGATGATGTGTACAAGACTGCAGAAGCAGTGAAACTTAGTGGGGGAAAGGTCACCCGTGAACCTGGACCGTTGCCTGGGATTAACACCAAGATTACCGCTTGCTTGGATCCCGATGGTTGGAAGTCGGTAAGCTTATAGAGATTATTCACATTACATGCTTTGACTGGCTTATCTTTTTCGCAAAGTTTTCCTTTTCTTTTTCATCTGATTTGAGCGAGTAAACCAACTAAGAGTAGAATTAAGAAGAAACAACTAAATTCATTGATAGATGATCAGCTATAAGATAACTCTAACGGTTTAGATATATACCAAATAACAAACGGACCTCCAACCAAAACCGAACTCAAACTGGATTACGAAGTAAAAAACTCTAGCAAACTCATCCAGGAAGAACACACCATGGATTTAAGTAAGAGAAAATAACTTGTCCTCTGCTCCAAGATTAGACGCTCATTGGTAACTAACTTATTCTCTGCTCTAAGATCAGAACTCAATGGTAATCTGAGCAAAACATGACTTAACCGGTTAAAACTTATAGTTTTTAATTAGGAGGTCAAAGGTTCGAATCCTACCATCCCATTTGAGGTTAAACTTTAGAAAAATATACTATACTGGACCATTATAAATCAAAGTCTTGAATCAAAGCTGACCAATAAATGTCTGCTGTAATAACAACGAAAATGAAAATAATTGATATATCCTTCTGCTTTAAACATAAGCTGCACGCACTAGGATTCAAACCTTAGTCTCAATTCTTGCAGTAACTTCATAAGATTACAAATTTCAGCCACCTCTTCCCCCCTTCAAATGACCTCTAAGAATATCTTACACATGACTTAGGAAAAGAATCCTGAGCTCTGATCACGTTCAAATCATTTTTATTAGAAAGGTCGAAGATTCTTGGAGAAGTATTGCATAATATATGGTTGATTATTCTCACCCACTTATCCTTCCAAGTAAAGATAGGAACTGGTTAATCAACACTTGGATACACACCTCTATCCCGACCTACTCCACTTATACCCACTTCCTTTGGACAAACTAGAACTACTCGGTTAATTTTCATGTTTGTTTACTTTTTTTTTAGAAAGTGTTTAAAAATTCTTAACCTGTGACATTTTCCAAAACTTATATATCTATTAGTCTAAAAAAAATTAGTTTGTGTCCTAATAACTGTTAGTTTAAAAAAATTCTAATATTTTAAGATTTGTTGGAATAAAATTAAAAGTTATTTTCAAAAGGGTGAAGATTTTAAGGAGCTGATTCAAGTATTAGGGACAAAAGTTAAAGAGAAAAGGAGTCGAGTAGAAATAGAAATTTAAAAAATAAAAAGAGTAAATGTTAGAAAATATGTAATGGACATGGAAATATATTGATAATATTTGGCAAATTGAAGAAATTATTTAATTTAAAAAAAAATGTCCTGCATGATAAAAATTTTGGAGGTAATTAGAAATTTTATTTCAAATGAAATTTCATAGATTAAATATCTTAAATAGTACCTCGAAGAAATCTTGAAGAAAAACAGGGATAAAATTAGATAGAGAAGCTGTCGGGTGAAAACTTTGGGAATTTTAGTGAAAAAATCTATGAAGGAAATTACAAGTTCAGTATCTCATAACTTTTAACTAGCATCTAAACTATGAAGGAAATTACAATTTTATATTTAATTGATTTTCATATTTTCAATATTTTGTCATAAGGAGTCGGAAATTCTAAAACTTTAAATTAAAAAAATTATAAAGAAAAAAATGGGAAAAAACAAAAGAGGTTGAAAAATGTTAAGAGGGGGTCAATAGAGGTTTTATTATTAAATTATTTGTTTGTTTTTCCTTATTTTAATTTCTTGAATTTTATTTTATTTAATTTTTTGAAAAAAAAATACGCTTATCAAAAATAAAATATTGATAGCTGCTATTAATTGAAATCAACTGAAATTTACCTCCTTCCTTTGTTCGGCAGGTTTTTGTAGACAACGTTGATTTCCTGAAGGAGTTGGAATGAGTCTTCGTCTTGGTGGATTTCCATATTTTACCATTTTCCACGAAACCATTTGTACATCACATTTGGCACCAACAAATACAATGTTCAATTCCATTGCTGCTTTTCTGTCTTCTTTATCCCTTTCTTTCTATAATATTTCCATATTTTGAGGATTATATTTTCCCAACTTCCGCATCCCCCATCATGTAAAAAGACCATTTTGCCCCTTGAGCAAATATATATATCCAATCTCCTTCAGGGCAGTATAGGAAAAGACCATTGAATAACCTTCATTCCCAAACAATAGAAGAATCTCATAAGAGCGGCCTTCGAATTTGGCCTAATATCAAAATTCTCCAATTCATAAGAAATTTTACCTGAACCAAGAAACATGATAGATAGTACTAATGGAACTGTATTTGCAGTTCTTGATGGAAGCATAGTTACAGCAATAGCTGACCTATTCACTTATAGCCCTCACTTCTGGAGGGCGGAGGTAAGATGGTCCAGAAAATCTTCATAGCACTCAAAATATCCGAAAATCTAACTAATAACTCTCCAAGTAATTATAGGATTTAATAACCCAACACCCTCAACTATGAACAATAATATAATTAAATAAAACAGACAGCACAGTTGGATTCTAACCTCATTATCAGATGCTAGCAACGTCCGAGAGATTCTTTTATCTTTATAATGCCTAAAAAGGACGAGTCCTAAGTAGTAACTTTTAGATTGGAGAGCCACAAGCCAAATCCATGAGATAATAATAATAAAAAAAAACTACGCAAACATGTAAATTTCGATAGCATAGATGATCACTTTCTCATCAGTCATAGAGATGCCGAAATAGACGGTTCAGATAATTACCGCGCAGCAGATCTCCAGGGCTGTTAAGCTAATATTTCACGAACAATTTGTCCAAACCTGTTATTCAATAGCTCTCCCTTAATCTTCATATTGCAAATCTGAAGGGAAAATTTCCTCCAAATCATACCTATAAACTGATAATAGAGGAAGTTATTCAAAATATTTCTAAATATTATCAAACATCTATTCAAATCAAGCACAAGTGCATGTTAAGAAGCCTCTGTGGGACATAATTCAGATGTAATTCTTGGAAGATGAAAATAGATTTAGCAACAGGAAGAGTGTACTCAGTGAAATACCAGCTCCAGAGAATGTGCTAAATGTATGCATGTTAGACCTTTTATAAAATGGTTAAAGCAAACAAAAATTAGTCATAACCCTAAGAATAGTGAAATGGACAAAGCATTGAGTTTATCTTAGCATCAAAAGTTAAATATAGATGAAAAACTATGACCCAAAAAAGTGGGGGGCAAATTAAGCAAAAGGTTTAGGTCTTTAATGCAAATAAAAGACATGAAAAATAGAGTTCGAAAATGGAAAACAAACAGGGAAGGAACGTAAATAAACCAAGGCAAAAGTCCATTTTAGCATCTGTTCAGATAACTCCTTCAAACGTCCAACTAACATCTTCAACCCTGCAAAGAAGCAGAAGCCCTGAAATACTCTGTACATGTCAGTTCAGTAAATTTTTATTTTGGCAGAAAATATCTGTGCATGTCCAGAACCTAGTAACTAATTGTAAGAACTAATACTTAGATCCTAATCAGCAGTACTCAATTAAGTTCCATCACAAAAGCCATAGTATCATGCATCATGGATAAGATCAATTTAGTTTCATGCTCTAGTTTGAAGTATGCGAAAGCGTTTAACATTGCACTCACAATAATAAGAGAGGTATTATTGGGCAATATGAACAAGTACTATCATCCATATTGCCTTACAAAAGGAATCTTAAAAGTGTAGTAACAAAAATGGTTAAGAGCACGAAATTCTTTCACACCAGTAATGTTACATAGAACCATAGGTACAAGATTTGCTGTGATTCACTTCTATTTACACAGCAGAAGGCATGCTTCCGAAAGTTGGTATTCTGTAACCACCAAAGCATTTTAGCCACCTTTCCAGGAAAAAAAAAAAGAAAAAAAAGAATAACATGAGCTGCAATAGTTGAGGGACTAACACAGTCATTAAACGAGCAAGCATGTTGCAGCTTCTGCCAATAAATCACCAGAATCTCTTCAATTACATTGCAAAAGAGATAACATCAAATCATCACAATTTTCAGCTTCATAGATGCAGTTTAGAATAGTCCTGGCCACATCTGTTACTAAATCATGATGTGTAAATGGTTAGAGAAAATTCAAACAAGTTCAAGCAACAGAAGGTATAATCCAGACAGCACCAAGAAAATGTACTGAGGGCTTACCGTTTTGATTACTTCGCAGATGAAATTCTCTGTAATGATGAAATCCAGCTACTTGAGGGGCCAATCCTGTGACCATTTCCATGTACATGGTTTGGAGATTCAGTCGACTGCAAAGGTTTAGCAGAATTTCCTCTTGAGCTACCAGCAGGTGTAAATGATGAAGTGGCCATGTGAGAATCATTTAGAACCTACATTATTAATATAGACAACCAGTAAGACATTATAACACTAAATAACAAACAAGGGAAAATGCAAAATATATAGTAAGGTATGCCATAAAGAAGACCATTTACATTCATGTCAAGAGCATTATCCGAACTCAAATTCTTTGGAGTTGGTTGTTTAAAATGCAGTCGCACTGCAGGGCTTGAAACATTGTCAGGTCTAACACGATCTGTAACCTCTGCTGAATGAGTATTAAACCCACCTGAATAATAAAATATTAAGGAAGTCACTTACTTTAAACAATGCAATGGTAAATTTAACACTGAATACACATCAAACAGAAACCTAACCTTGACGATTTTCCCCTTCCATAGGGGTTGCATGATGATTATGTGTACCAGCAAGAACTGGCTGAAGTAAGAGGCAATATACCATACTTAGAATCACAAGTCCGTTCACTCCAATTTCTGCCGATAAAATCATTACATAAAGACACAAATGCTAACCAGGGAAAGATACTTACAGAGACTCGTGGCTGAGTTCTGTTCTTCTGTGACTGCTGGTACTTTATGATTGTCCAGTTAAAAACATAATCAAATTCGTATTCTGCACAAAAACAAATACTTAGGCATCCTGAAAGTACATAGGTCTCATTCAAATAGGAATGCTGTAGAACAAGTTTTATACAAACATCACTACCTTCACGAGCAAATAAGTCACGGAACAATCGCTTTAAGAACCCATAATCAGGTCGCTGATCAAATGTCAGAGAGTGGCAGTAATGGAAGTATGAAGCAAACTCCACTGGATGAGACTTGCATAGGACCTTTGAGAATGATAATAAAAATAGATACATAAGCTCACGAATGTATACACATAGCCATGAACCTAGAGATCTGGTTAAACATACCTCAATAGGAGTAGATAACTTCTTCTCACATATTTTATCATATTTTTGCTTCTTCGTGGCAGCTTTCAATCCTTGCCATGGAAGGCTATAATGAAAATTTTAGTTATTAATAGAAAATTAAAAAATAATAATAATAACAATAAACTGACAGGAATACCATCCCTATCCCTATCAATGCATGAATTATGATATACTAATAAAGCATGCTTGAATTGGGATGAACGGAGTTAAACTAATATCCCTTACGAACACCACAACTTTCTTCAGAATGAAGGAGACTCTATTGTGCATAACTAATTAATAGTAATAAAAACAGTGAGGACAATGGTTTACCTTCCTCTCAAAAAGTAGAGAAGCACATATCCAAGAGACTCCAAATCATCCCGCCGACTTTGCTCTAGAAGAAGACAGCAGTGAAGGTAGATGAGATGAGAGTCACAATTCAATGCCAAGTAGTAAACTCATGTGTCTGACTTACCGATACCAAGATGAGTATTGCAACTAGCATAACGAGCTGTCCCTGTTAAGTTTTTATTTTCCCTATTTTTATAAACAAAGGAAGGTTATATACCAATTTGTATATCAGAAATGACTATTTGAGCATGAGTAAGAAACTTAAAAGAAGTTTCAAAAGTAATTGAAGGGATACCTGTAGGGGATATGCCGGTTGGTAGTTGCATCTCGATATCTTTTTGCTAATCCAAAATCTATTATGTAAACCTAATAACAGAATCAAGGAAAGATAAGAATCCATACACAACCAAGAAAGAGAAGTTAGCAAGAACAACTTGAAGTGATTTATCAATAATAAGAACAGTCAACTTAGAAACAGAACTATCACCTGATTTGCTTTGCGTCCAAGGCCCATAAGGAAGTTATCCGGCTTAATGTCTCTATGCAGAAATCCTTTGGAATGTACGTACTCTATTCTTGTGATCTTTGACAGAAAAAAGAAAATGAATGAAACAAGAAGCTACTAGTCATGGAAGAGAAGAGACCTCATAGCATTTAACACTTGCATATAAACACGAACATCCAAGATGAGAAACAGCAGGAGGAAGTGATGCATACCATTTGATCAGCCAACATCAAGACTGTCTTCAGCGAGAACTTCCTCCCACAATATACAAAGAGATCTTCGAGACTTGGTCCCAACAAATCAAGGACAAGCGCATTCTCCTCCCCGTCTATACCAGACCATTTAGTAGCAGGAATACCACCTGAGTTAAGACGAAAACAACAATCAGCTAACAGCAACTTCAACCAATGATAATCATCCACCGCTTCAACACAAGCATTGAACTACACACAACATGAAAATTATATCAAAATAGCCTACGTACTTCCTCCTTGAAGAATATTATACAATTTAGCCTCATAAAGCAGTTGCGGATGCTTCGTTTTATTGTTTTCCTGACAAAAAAAACCAAACACATCAGTAAACACCGCGAAAAAAGCCGAAGCTCTCGTCTCCATTTCCCCGACCAAATTTCCACGCACGGAAACATCAACTAAGATGCATCCGAGAAAGTATCCACAAAATTCAGAAACAATCGAACAAAAGAACGAGGCGAACTTCGGCAACCACAACACAAACCACAGAGAAACTAATCAATCGTTCAGAACTTACTATTTTCACAGCGACGATTTCGAACGTCTCAATATGAGTAGCTGAATCAACACAACAAACAAAAACACAGAGAAGAAATCACAATAAATCTCAGTAGTAAACAAAAAACTTCATACAAAAACACTAAGCTAAAAATTCGAACAAATCGGCTCCATACAACTCACCGAGATAGATTTCCCCGAACGATCCGCTACCGATCTTGCGGCCAAGCTTGTACTTGCCGCCGATTACACGCTCCATAACGAAGATCAAGTGGATCGGATTTCCAGAGATCGGTCAGAGCATGAACACAACGAGGGTTTCGAAGGTTTAGAATCAAATCCGCAAACAAAATTCAAAAAATAGAGATATATATATATATATATATATATATATGATAAATTAATAAATATATATTTATAGATATATAAAAATACGAATAAATAATTGTGTATAGAGAGAGAGAGAGAAAGATGAAGAAACGAAAGCCACAAAAACGAAGACGAGGACCAGCAGCCAAAGGCCAGGGGTAGTCTTCTTCCAATTCTACCTTGGACTCCATTGGATAAACTTGAAAAGGTCTAGGGGTACTTTCGGAATTTCATCCTACGTGGATTTATTGACCTGTCCACTATTTGATTCTGTATTCAATATTATATTTAATATTTTTATCGTGTTGGCTTTTTTAATATATTATATTTTGTTTTTTTTTTAATATATTCTATTTTGGCTGCTCTGTGTTTTGGCGCTATTATAACTATGCAATTCCCGGCTTCTTCGCATGTCTCAGTCTCTTTACATTAAAGTAAATTTTTATTCGTTAAATAAATAAAATATTTGTTTTAATATATATATAATATTGGCTTTGAAATAATTCGATTTTTCTTATTTTATGATTTTAACTCATTTTTCTATAAATAATATACTAAGATTTTAAAACAAAAAGATAATAATATATCCAAAAAATTTTAGAACGAATTTTTCTAGAAATTGATTGGGTATAGCTAAGATTCATGGGCCCAATCGGATGGCCCAATCAAATTGGCCCATCACGTGGCACTCTAACCTAATAAAATGGATCTGTGTGGACCTTTAGATCTTAATCAGATATATAGTATGGATCGTACATGGACGGTAGTTGGAGTCGGTGGCTCTCTTAGGGTTCCCTCATCTGGGATCTTTGAGGAAGAGGATCAAGTTGGCCCTTGCGAACAACTTGATGCACTATCTCCCTTCAACCCTTTGAGCGAAATGCAGCAAAAGGAAGGAAAATCCATAGATCGACCCCATCGTCTCCCCCCGTAGGAACTACAAGATCATCCCAATGAAGCCTTCAGTATCCAGGGGTCGCAGACCGACCATAAAACCCTGTTCAATAAGTGAAACGCATTAGCTGTCCGCTATCCGGTTGGGCAGTAAGGATCGGAGAAGGGCAATCACTCATTTTTAAAACTAGCATTTTTAAGACCAAAGAGGCGGGTGCTATCCAGTTGGACAGTAAGGGGCAGAGAAGGGCAATCACTCTAAAACCAGCGTTCTTGAGACCAAAGAGCGTTCTTAAGACCAAAGAGACGGGCGCTGTCCGATTGGGCAGTAAAGGTCAAAGAATGGTAATCACTCATTTTTAAAAACCAGCACAACCAAAGAGGCGGGCCCTATCCGGTTGGTTCTAAAATCAGCATTCTTACTATCAAAGAGGGCTTTACTTTATTGTGAAAAATATTATTATTAAAATAACTGAGGAAGGCATTAATGTATTTTTTGCTAAAATTAAATTATAACTAATTGGAGGACCAAAGTGCAATTAAAATTCCTTACAAGGATTACATATATATTTTGGAAAAAAATTGCAACCTCCCACTCGAGAAATAGTATAAAAACAGCCATAGTAAAATAATTTAAATTATTTAAAATAAAATCGGTGGGAAAAAATAGACACAGAAGGAATTTAATTTAGCTCCTAAATCACTTAATCTGAATCCAAGTTCCCACACTCGGAATTCCACGATAAACCACAAACAGCATATAAAATCCAGGCGGCGCAATGATTCCAGATGGCGGCGCCACCACAGTCGCGCTATAAGTTCCGGCGCCGGTCTCCGCCACTTGCTTATTCGCCAACACAACAAGCCTCTGACCCATGGAATATCCGTGCGTCGTGAACGGCGGCGGATACATCGTGACTCTAATGTCATTTTTCTGATCAAATTGGCCCTCAACTAACAAATTGAATTTCACAACGTAATCTTTTCCATATTCCCAGGGGAGCACCAATTCCTCCTCCAGGATGGCCGGGCGGTATGCGACGTACATCGGATCAAGGTACGGCGGAGCGAATTTCTCGACCCTCAATTCCGTCGGGTACTTGACAGCTTGGAATAGGTAACCGGCGTTGGTGTTGCTGCCGGCGACGAGGATTTGGCCGTCGGGGAGAACGGCTGAGGAGGAGTGGTACATTCTGGGGATTCTGGTGGGGACTAGTTGTTTGAATCGTTGACCTTGTGGTTTGTCTGGGGAATAGAGAATGGGCGAGTAATTAGGGCTTTCGGCGAAATTCCACGCCGCTGTACCAGTGGTAGCGCCGTTGAGAAGCAAAAGATCGCCGGTTGGGAGAATTAATAAGTCGCCCATTACTCTAGGAGATGGCATTTGTTCCTTCCTCCAAACGTCTTTGGGATTTGTGATCTCTAGACGAGCGCAATCTAGCAATGCTGGCATGAAGTTCCCCTTCTCCGCCAACCGGTATGATTCCGGTTTAGCTCCGCCGCATATAATCACCTAAGCAAAACCATCCAAGTTTGTAATTTTAGTGGCGTGAAATAGAGATCTCCATGAAGCGGGGTGGGAACCGGAACATTCACCGTCCCCAAAAATTGTTCAATTAGGGCAATTCCCATGCCAGAGGACGGGTGGGATCTCTAGCCCCATTTAAAAAATGGTTCGATTAGGGCAATTCCCATACTAGAAGATGGGTGGGATCGTGGACGAGTGGGATCTCCAACCCCATTTAGCTCAATATTTAGCTCAATAGGACGAAGATTCCCAAAAATTGTTCGATTAGGGCAATTCCCATTTAGTTCAATAGGATGAAAATTCTCCGACAATTCTCACCGCTAACTCTATCTGTTTTAACTTTTTGAGTTTAGTAATAGTTTAACATACCTCGGCCGGAATTGACCCTGGATTCACGAGTGGAAGCTTGAGAGGGAGGAGCGCCGACATTCCCGATGCGGGGTAGTTTCGGGAACCGCCTTCCAAAACCGGATACTCATGAAGGACGGTATGAGTCTTAGGATCAAACAAGATTGAACGGCTATTGGCGAAGATGAAGACATTGCCATCAGTTGAAAGATAAACAAACGGGTAAAGATTATTTTCATCCAAATCAGTTGTTTCATCAAGGAAGGGTAATTTGATAGCTCTTGGATTGGATTTTCCTTCCGCCGGAACAAATTCAACGCTGTAAGATCTCCGGCCACCGACCAAGAAAAAACCACCGTCCGACATGGTGATCTGAGTCGAATACCACCGGGGACGAGCCAATGCCATCGGATAATCCTTAAAATCACAAGTGTTGCATGGAGTAATGTATCGGACGGTTTTGGTTCCATCCCTCCAGCCGCCCGTGTTCACCAATCTTCCTTCGACGTCGAGCCCTCCCGACGAGCACCATGGATCCGTAGCCATCTATCATTATTCATCAACAGTTAACACATAGAAGTAATTAAATTTATCTTAACCTATTAGCTTAAGTTTTATGGATCGAGTACGATGCTACTAACCGTGAGTGGTCTAACATTGCCCGTTTCGATATCGTACTCGACCCCATGAGCCCAACAATCTTGCATCGCGGCGCCTTGATCGGTCGTGTACGGAAAACATTTGCCACCGGGCAACTTGATTTGTGAAATGTGAAATGCAGCTGCATCAAACATGATCATCTTATTATTTGGCAACAAATTCATGTGCATAGCCGAGACCGTGGAGTTTCTAGAGACCAACTTCCACATCCCTATATTACTCGTCTCGAAAACGCGCGCTCCCGACCCATCCACTGGTCGAGGACCGGCTTTAAATGTAATGCCCGGTAGGTTCTTTGTCGGAGTGGCCGCATCTTTCTTACCGGCGTCATTGGTTCCGGTGGAAGAGTTAGCCAATATCTCTTTCAGGCCCGGGGAGAGGGAGCTAGGGCTGGAGCCATAGGCCCCGCCAACGGTGTTGAAATCGGCGGGGACAGAGTCGAAGAAGAGGACGAGGAGGAGAAGGAGGAGAAGAGAAGCTGCCTTGAGAAAGGCCGCCATTGAAGTTATGAGTGACCTTGTTCTTCAATGGCAGCGTTGTGTTTATAATAACACAATGCCTTCTTTATTCGTGTGTTTCTCAGCTATTGTCTCCCTCTCTAATGCATTTTATGGCTCAAAGAAATCAGTTAAGAGATCATTAAAATAGCTTCTATGGTTCCTCGTTTAAAGGCAAAACTCAACTTAAAATTTACTAATTCTAGGTAATTAATTAAAGGGAAATTAAATATTATAATTATTTTTGGGTTAATACAAACGTTTTTAAAAAGTTAAATTACAAATTTACCCCTACTACTCTTACAAGTCCCCATCAAATTTGTTTAAAAATGATAGAGCCTAGATTATTACGTCATAAAAATTTATTAATTTTTTCAAACTTTTAAAAAATATATAACATTTTAATAAATTCAGTAAGATTTTATAAGCAAAAATATAATATAAATTATACCCACACACACATATATATATTAACATATTTTGCTCAACTTTCTTCCTTATACAAACATCTCTAAAATAAGCTAATTTTCTCAATTATTTATATATTTTAAATAAGTAATTTCCACTTTTCAATATAATTTCAATAAAATAATATAAAATATAGTATATAATATAATGTTCGATATTATAACATAGTCTCCCCTATTCTTAATTTAAATGGTTAAATGAATATCTCTAAGATATTATGATAGTCGATATATATATATATATATATATATATATATATATATATATATATATATATATTAGATTTAAGCTTGAAATAAAGCTTTAATGTCAAATCAGTTTCCCACTAATACAAAAATAGTGGCATTGGTTTTTCAATCACTTTCACATGAATGTTTCAATTTCCATTCAAAGCACCTTCTTCATTTCTTTTCACTCTTATTCCAATCACTAAGCGCTTTTTGGACATATAAAACTTGGATAAGGTCATATAAATAAAACAACAATATTTATAGGGTGTATACCGAAAACGGACATTTTCCTTTTAATCGAGGAATATACGTGGTTTATAATATTTTCATGAACGTTTAAAAAAACGTTCTATGAGTAATAATCTGTGAT